GTGTAGCTTGAATCATTAACTTGGTCTTTTAAAGCACCCGTGTAGCAGGAATGTGGGCGGTTTAAAGTAAAGACAGAACGACATCTTATATAATGCACCACGTACTTTATGTTACCATCCGCACGTGTGTAGAGCTTTTTGTCAGTCTCACACAGCAGGTCCACAACACCTACAAGCAATCTTGTTCTGTACCCGTCTATCTCTCAGGTACGCCGGTATGTCAACGACGTGGTGCGGATCTACTCCGTCTCGGTGAGTAACGCGGTGGATGGCGTGGCCTCGAGGTGCCGGGCCTGCGCCCTCAGCACCCGGCCCTCCAGCTCCACGTGTGTGCCGTGTCCACCGGGACACTACATCGACGCACGCACCAGCCGGTGCACAGAGTGCCCCCGTAACACACACCTCGTCCCACACGCCACGCCGGGCCCGGACGCCTGCAAACCCTGCGGGCCGGCTAGCAGGAGCGACAAGGTTTGATTTGGGGAACGGAATCAGACTATTGTTTTTGGTGTTAGTCATATAACACACGGCCATATATACTGGTGTCCTTGTCTCTTTCTTTTTTCATTCAGGACCACAGTTTATGTTACAGTGACTGCCACTTCACCCACACTGAGGGCAATGTGACTCTGACTTATGACCTGAGCCTCCTCGGGTCTGTTGGATCACTGATGAACGGGCCGAGCTTTACCTCCAAAGGGACCAAGTACTTCCACCTCTTCAAAATAGGCCTGTGTGGAGGAAAGGTGTGACGAGACAAAACATGCACTCACACGCAGCGTAAAAAGCGGTTCTGTATCTCAATGCGACGCCCCTGCCGATTGATTTTTTGCCAGATGGCGGTGTGCACAGACAACGTCACAGACCTATCCATCGCCGACTCCCAGAGAGAGAAAGGCGAAGGAATCAGTGCTGTCAAGACCTTCATCTGTCAGTCAACAATAATCCCAGCCACTGGGCGGGGCTTCCACACAGCCCTCGCCTCCCAGTCCATTAACCTGGCCGACACGTTACTCGGTTAGTGAGCACGATACGCAGACGGACAACTGCGTTTGGGCTTCTGTTTGTGGGTCTTTTATCAAATAATAAGACCGGAGAGAGAAAATAAAAGACGCATTAATTGTACACACACACACACACGCATTAAACAATGCCGCTGTATGTCGTTAACAGGAGTGACAGTTGCTAGTACACTTGATGGAATAAGGGCGAGGCCAGAGCTGTACCCCCAAACCACCAAGAAAGTCCCCGACGTTAACTTCTACTACAGGTAACTTTTCACGATTTCAATTTAATCGATCTAACCTGAGAGCGCTACAAGTAATGTGCGTGCGCTCTCGTCTTTTTGTGCGTTCCTTTTTTTTTCTCTGCGAAGGTCCCTGGAGCCAACCTCCTCCTGTGAGTCGGGACGCAGCGCGGTGGTGACACTTCGCTGTAACGCAGAGAAGAGCACTAAAGGAGAGCTCGCCGTTCCCAGGTACTACGTCGCTGAGGCGGTTTCCTGTCTCCGCGCCGCAGCGCTGTGCTCTGTGCTGTGATGGTGGTCGTTGTTGAGGTGACGGCTTGTGTTTTTGCTATTTGCAGTCAGTGCCCGGCGGGGACGTGCGATGGCTGCACCTTCCATTTCTTGTGGGAGAGCTCAGCAGCGTGTCCTACTTGCACAGAGAGAGACTACCATCAGATAGAGGGAGCCTGCAAAGGAGGACACCAGGTGTGTGTGTGTGTGGGTGTGTGTGGACGTATTCACTGCTCAAGGATTTGGGAATTTCATTTGGTTCTTGGGGGAAACACAATGGATTTAAAATGAAACGATGCGCTGGCAGCTTTAATTCGAGGGGTTTTCACCCACATCCCACTGACTGTGTATCATTTTAAGGCTATTTTATAAAGCCTTGGCCCATATGGACAAAAAACACCCTTAAAGCTGACTTTTAAAATTTTGTGAGGAAAGTTTTTACAATATTCAGTGTGTGTTTTTGCTTATTTGCTGCCATATGTATGTATGTATGTATGTTCTACCTCAGGACTTGCTGTATGTGTGGACTGAACCAAAGCTGTGCGTGGGAGGTCTGTCCTTGCCTGAAAAGAAGACCTTGCCATGCGAGGGCGTGGAGTTCTGGGTCCGGCTCGGTGCCGGTCTGGGAGCTTTCACTGCGGTGCTGCTCGTCTCGCTCACCTGCTACTTCTGGAAGAAGAACAAAAGGTACAAATCCCCTTTCTCCTTCCTGCAAGCTTTTTTGTGTCTACTTCTTTTACGAATTCCTTCCTAACCTTCCTAATCTTTTATTCTTTTACTTTCTGCCGCCGTCCTTCCTGTCCCACTAATCGCCATCCAAACTCCACAACGCTTCCTGTTTTCCTCCTTCATGCCTACCACATTTCCTCTCTCCTTACTTTCCCCATTAGTTTCCTTTCTTGCTTTATCTATTCACCTTCTGCAAGGGGTTTCCTGGTCACATTGCAAATGTTGCCAATGTTCGTTGTTTCTTTACCAACACTATTGATTCTGTCACTTGTCTCTTTGCCAGGTTGGAGTACAAGTACTCGCGGTTGGTTATATCTGCCAATAAGGAGTGTGAGATGCCAGGAGCGGACAGCTGTGCCGTGATGGAGGGCGAGAACGAGGGAGACATGGAGGATGAAATCGTGTACACAAAACCTTCTCTACTTGGCAAACTCAAAGCCATAGCATCCAAGGTGCGAGTCTGATCATCGTTAAATTAGCATTGGGAACATTTCGCTTTGACAAAAGTATTTTATACACTGCAGAAATAATGCGTGCTTTGTCCTTTTTCCCAGGGAAACGGAGAGCACTACGAACATGTGCAGCTAAACTCCTCTCATTCGAAAGCGTTGGTATGGAGCTAGAGAGGTGGTAAAGTGAGGGGAGAGATCGGACCCCCGAAAGACTTTTCACCCCTAGAAACCCCCTTTAAACATCCCGCCCCCCCCCCCTTTAGGAGCTCTGGTGCCTGGAACAACACGTGTTTATGCAAACTTAAACACACACAAACGTCACGCACCTATAGCCAGGTCCAGACAAGGCAAGAGCACGGTGGCCTTAAAGCTCGGCGAGACGGAGCTGTCCAACTCTGAGCGTAGTACCGGGAAGCCGGTGTGTGTGTGTGTGTGTGTGTGTGTGATGGACACTTCTGTTAATATCCTGATTCAAACTGATGTCAGAAAGGCTGTTAGAGCTCAGGGTAAGACAAATAGCTATTTGATTGATTTTCTCTTTTCATTATTCATCTCAGTGTGAGTGCCTAATGCCTCTATAGGTGTGTGTCTCTCTTCTCATCTGTTTTTTTTTTCATTTGCTTAGTTGAAGTTATTGTAGCAGGTAGAAGTGTTGCTGACCAAGTTGACATGAAGACGTCATGTTACACCGATACGGTTTTGTTGTTGACTGTCTATTTATGTTGATTAAATTATGTATTTATGTATAAGTGGATCCAGTTTGATTCATTTGTCTCTACTGATTATTTTCAAGTTAGTTTCATTAGTCTCAAAAGGATTGTATTGATTTAAATATAGTACACATGTCCTCGCCTACAAGCAAATGGCTCAGCAATTTGATACTAATTTAACATGATGTATAGTTTCAAAATGATCACAGCACAAGTCGCATCACTGGTTCGGTGTCAGAATTCAATACCCTCTAAAAGTTGTCTTGTATTTGAAACTATATTCATGATATACCCCACATTTTTTGTCTTCTGTAAATAGTTGTGAAAGTTTAGTTTCACTTTTATACTCACTTTATTACTCACTAATTTACATTGAAACTAATTATCAAGCACTAACAACAAAACATATTGAAACAGGTTATTGTAACACATTTGATTTATGTGTGCCTGTACCTTATTGAATGAAGCCTTTACTTAATGTTGCATCTGTGTTCCAGAAAAATGAAGTGAAAAAAAAGAATTCCCATGAAATCTTTCTGATCAAATAAGAAAGTTTAGAGGGCGCAGCTCCTTCTCCACAGAGGCGAAACTGTTGCAACAAATGTTGCTGAGGTTATTGGTAAAGACCTCTTCAATCAAACAATAAAAGTTAGTATGTGGGTTGTGGTCAGAATTTGCATTATTACACTCAAGCATATATAAATATCCATACATCCTAATTAATGACCAAAGGAAATACATTATGTGTAAAAACTGCTGTAATGTAGTAGTAGTTCTCTTTCCATCTTAAGATTTATTAAGTACTAAGTGGTGGAAAGTCACTAAGTACATATATGCAGCTACTGCAGTCAACTTAACAGTTTGAGGTCACAGAGGTTAATGTATACATTTTTTCACTAAAAGCAAAGATTAGATCAAAATAAAAAGAATACCATTTTCTGTTGAGGTACTTCATTATTCCTGGTAACTTATGTAATTGCCTAACTCTACCACCAGGTGGCGAGCTTTGCCAGGCTTTAAGAAAAGAGTCACCATGTAGTTCTAAAAAAGAAAGAACTGTATGCAGTATGATGGAGCCAAAAATAAGAGACGAGGGTAGCATTGCCGTGCGTACATCCAGTACCTGCAATGTGTTATCATCTCATGAATCAACAACCTGACGCTGTAGGATGAAAACCTTCTGACAAACGTCACCTTAGCTGTTGCTTTCTTTCTTTTTGTCTTTCATTCTTTTTTGAAGAAAGTGGAGCTACACACCGGAGTGCATTGTCCTAAGGCAGTGAACACTCGAGTAGATGTTTTAATTGGAGTGCCATCACTTAGGGAACAGATTACGCACAAGTGTTAAAGACATCTTTCAGCATTTGCCAGCACACGCTATGAATAGAGCATGTGTGTGTGTGTGTGTGTGTGTGTGTGTGTGTGTGTGTGTGTGGGTGTGTGAATGAGTGCGGTGTGGCTGTCAATGACGCTGTGGAGACAAATCGGTGTACTCTTCACCATCTCGATTCTGGATGAGATTCCTAAACACACTGAGACACTTTTTTTCGTCAGCGGGAGACACTGGACACGCAAGGACGAGCAGACGACCTCAGCTGTTTTGTTGTTATTTATTATGACGTAATCACAGCCTCTGTATTGCATGTATCATAAACACGGAACTATTGCTTTGATTGATCAGTTCCAGAGTTTAGCTCGACCTCAGCTTCATTTTTGCCGCAGAGATCTCGTTTTGTTTCAAAGTCGAGAGGCCAAAGGACACATTCTGTTACATAGCAAGGGGCTACAGCACAGAGACCCTTGTGGAGCACATGGCAGTTGGCAGAGGCTGAATAGAGGAAGAACGTCCGTAGTGGATGGCTTGCCGAATGAAAGGGATATTCATGAGTGAAGCCATTTAAAAAAGTTTCCACTGAGAGTCACTGTGTACATGATGTGATAAACTGAGCACAGCGGAGTGAGAAATGTGAATGAATTTGAACAGGATGCCGTTTTCTCTATGTGCGATTTTCATTTTTTTTCTATACACTCTCTAAATTCTTCATCTATCTCCTCCAACTTCCTCAGGTCGGCCTCATCGGTATGTGCCGCGGTGGGCACCCAGGTACGAGTGTCAGACTTTAAGTGTGGGGGCCGGGCCGGGCTCCCAATCGGTTGGTTTGGCTTCAGGTGGTCTTTGGCTGAGGCTGACTCAGCAGTAAGTTTCACACACAGAGTGGAGATGAGGGTTCAAGGGGCGAGGTGGGTTTAAAGAGGCCGGGTTCAGTGGAAGAGTGTGGGACTGTTGTCCGAGACTAGTAGCCTGGACTAAATGAGAGGGGAACCCGGGTTAAGTGCTCTATTTGTGTGGCCATTAAAAGCTGGGAGTAGAGTGCTGGGCACGGCTCAGCCAAATCTCATCACTAGATGCCAATTTGAATCACAACCAGCGACCAGCTTTTTTTCTATTTCCCCCGTCTTTCGCTTTCTCCTCACCCCTCTTCCCGCCCTCCTCTACATGCGGACAAATAGACATTCCGGCAGCGGATGTGGCGGCGGTTGTCCGTAGCAACCTGCCATGCGGGGTGTATCTTGTGGGAGCAGGACCACTGAGTGAATGGCTAAGCCTTCTGCTAACAAAGACTGTGAATCTCCGAGATGCTTTCAGCCTCCATAGAAGCGCTGTGACTTCTGTGCTGTGGGAGTGCTTTACATAATCTAGCAGCAGCTCCCCTCTGCTTTGCCACATCACTCTCTCCTTATGCTCTCTGCACCTAAACACACACACACACACACACACGCCCCTATGCAGGTTGGCTCATCTTGGCGCATCCTCTCAAATTCTTTCAATCTGTCATTCAGTGTAAAAATGACAAGGGTGCTGTTGGAGAACGGCGGTGCAAAAGGTGCCAACCGGACAGGAGATGAATGTATGACCGTTCTGCCGGTGCCTGCTCTGTGAATTTTAACATGGAGAAACCACATCTGCAATGCTTGTCCGGAGACGAAAAAAAAAAGGTGATTCTGATCACACGTATAATGTGTAAACATTTGAGACAGTATTTTGTTGTATGCTCTCATTTAAGATCGGTTTGTCCTGTCCTCCGAGAGGCCACTTTATATTTTTTATTTTTTAGCAATGAGATGTTGTAACCCAGTGCTAAAGTAGTTTAGGCTATTTAGACTTTCTTGGAAAAAACACAATAAATATTTTTGTCAGGTAATCTCGCCCCCTCACAACTGTCACCCAGCAAAGAGTCTGTTTGTATTTCCAGCTACTGTTTGTAGTCGGGTGGGATGTTCTGATAAATGCAATGCATGTTCTGCATGAGTTCTGCTCTAACATCCTTTTGTTAGATGGAGTATCTGCAGACAGCTGACATTGTGTGCTCTGTTTCCTCTGGTGAGCCGTGGCCAGCTGCTCCGCTGTGCCTCTCAACGTCAACACATTTAACACAGGCATGTAAACTGCACACTTCAATAAGTCGACAACTCAGTAACTTCACCTTATCGGTATGTGAGCTTTTCTCTTCCCCTTTCCTGTCTTTATCGGTGCAGCCGAGCTGTAAAAAAAAAAAAAGTAAAGTGAACTCATTATGATCGGTTTTCGGTCAGAAATGTCCATTTCGTATTTCTTTTTAATCACAGGCTGGACAAAGAAGGGGAGGGGTAGAGAAAGTCATTTCAACCTAAATTCCTCAGATTCACTGTTTCAACACTTAGGTAAACAATCAATAGCAGAAGGCTTACTAGGGAAGAAAACTAATTGGCGTTGCCTTTAAACAAGTGCTCTACACTGAGGTCACTTTTACACTTTCCAGTAATTTCCATCCCGTAATGTAAAACTGATCTATTTTCAATCCCTACCTGGAGCACTACCAAACATACATTAAGGCACAGAGCCATATTAAAAACATCACCACATACTGTATCTGAGGGGCACAACAAAAAAAAAAGCTACCACTCCCCTGTACTTTTCACATTTAAAAATTCTAAATGTGTTCAGCAAAGAAGAACTTTCTACCTCCATTAGTGGTTGAACTGTCTGAGCACAACTTTATAATTACTGGGTAAGAAAGCAATTTGTGTTTGTTTGTTTACTGACTCTGTATTGACAGTTTTGAAGCAAAATAAACACATTTGATGTGTTGTATCTCTTCAGTCCTGTTGTTAGTTGTTATTAAAAATCCAATACAACAACCCTCTGAATAAAGAGGCAGTTTGAGAGTCTGTTTCCTTGGTGAACACACGTCTGGAACTCTGGTCATTAAGATAAAGGGATTCCATGATTAGAAATAGAAAAATGAACATTTGTATCAAAAGCAAAACATATTTTTTCCCTGCAAAAACAGCTACCGTGGGTTCTTTATATTGATCTAGGATGCAAAGAAAATCTATCAGGAGGTGAGTCGATGAAGTGAAAATTGTTCCGGCACAGTGTAACAGTAAGTTGATGAGTTTGGTGGATTTGCGTACACGTCTGTTCCAGCCATCCTATACCGTGCACTTTATGTTTTTGCCCACATTCATTCAAGGTTTACAAGACTGTCAACATTGTGCTGTTTGAACCATCAGTAGTATAATATACAAATGTACAGATACACAATAGAAATACGTACATAATTGGTTATTACAATGAGACCTACAAAAAAGCATGAGAATAAAAAGTCTGTGGGATATTGCAGGTGAGTCAAGCAGAGCCACATATGTGCATCCAGACTGAGGGACACACACCCTCCTACCATGATGACGCACATGTCTATTTACACCGCATCATAACAAAGCTATCAAAAACAAAGGCTCCAAAAATTCCTCCTAAAAACTTTTTTTGTTCTTTTGTTTCTCTACTTACACCAATGTTGATTCCATGTATGTACATCCCTAGAAAATAATTTAATTATAGTTACACACTTTCTACATTTTTGAAACAATACACTTCTAAGTCCACAAAGGAGATTGTTTGTTTGTTTGTTTGTGCATGTGTGTGTGTACGTGTGCGTATGTTTTTGTGTGTGTAAATCGGGGAATGGGGGGGAATGATGGGGAATGGTGGGTTTGTAGGGGGGATAATGCTCATGGATTGGCTAACAGTCGCAGGGGCAAATTCAGAGAGTGGACTGGATGTGGTCACAGAGAGGAAGTAGTGGAGTCGACAATCTCTCTCCCGTTGCACACGGTCGGGACCTGGTGGGCACTGACAGATGCTGGAAAAACACACAAGACATCAGATTGGTCCATATAATAATTCATAATCGACTTGTATCATATTATGCCATTACACTTAAATCACATCACCAAAATGTCAAACAATCGTAAGGGTGATTAGGGTCTAGACGCCTGGTGGTTAATGGTAATAAATATGGCGACTCTGCAAAAGTAATTTGTAAAAAAAAATCCCACCAGACCTTTAGTTGATCTTTTATGTGAGGTAAATTGGGCAGGAATATGTTTCAATTTTAGGTCACCTATTTGATCCAAGGTCCTTTCACTGTACCGTTCACCACCACATCCTGGTCCGTCAAACAGGACGCTATTCTCTGCAGTCTGACCCGCCTACGTTTGAAACTGTCAATCCTAACCCACCGTAAAGGTAACAGCTTTAGAGGAACAGCATTGCACATTTAGAGACCTATGTTGCCTCTGGATATTGTAACTTGGCTGTAATACATTTTTAAAGCAAACGCCTAAATAGTCTATAGTTCAAGATTTCGTGTCCCTTATGGCAAAAGGTGCAACGCAGGGCGACCAAATATTGAATGCGTCAAACCTAATGCTATTTGCATGATAAAAGCAGAGCAAGACAGTGCTGCTCTAAACCCCGGTCTCTTTTGAAATGAGGTAACTGGATGTAACCTACCGTGAGATGCGTACGTGGTGGCGGCCCCGCTGACACTGAAGCGATTGAGGTTGAGCCTGTGGCTGGTCACGTTCTTCTGGGGCTGGAACATGATAATATGGACCTTGGGAGCAAACATACAGCCCAGGACAACAAACCCGCTCAGACTCACCGAGATGCACATGGTGGTGGTCTGAACCTGCGGAGCAGAGAGGATGGGGCGGTAATTAGTAGCCAGACTGTGATGGATACATCTTATGCTAATGTGGTACAGAGTAATTGCTTTTAAGAGCTAATTTGGTGATGATAATCTGTGATAAGGAACATCTGTCAAAAGGACTTTTTAAATGAGTGTTAAAAAGTGTAATGGATCCTTGTAAAGCGTGAAGATGCCAATGAGGCCTGTGAATAGAAATCACAACCAGTTTGTGGCCGTCAGCTTGCTACAGTTAAAAGGATAACAATCACAGGATGGATCAATAAACGACTTAATCAGCAGAGACCACGGAGGCCGAGCATAACAGTATCTCAGTGGTGGTTTTTACTTCATTCTCTGAGACACATTGTACCACATCAATGCTAAATCTAATCTAAGGACGGTCTGAAATTGTGTTTGCAGTGCGTGACGGTCCCTATCACAATAACATCAACTCACAGAAGAAAGTGAGTGATACTTTGTGTGTGTGTGTGTGGGGGGGGGGGGGGCTTTGGGGCTGGGCCCCTCCTTGACTAAAGTCAGATTACAAGCCCAGAGAGAGAGAGAGAGGGAGAGGGAGCGAGAGAGACTTTTTTTCTGGTAGAGATCAAATGAGCTGCCCTGCCATCAGCATTCCTCTCTTATGCCCTCCAATACAGAGTGTGTGTGTTTGCCGGAGCGTGTTCTTAAGGTGTGTGCGCATGATCTTAAAGATCAAAGGAACCCACACCCCCCCCCCCCCGCTCTTCCGCTCACCCCCTCACCCCCTTTGCTGTTAAATCCGGACACGTGTCAGCACTTTGACGGAGCCTGTCTGTCTGTCATGCCAATACTGCAGAGCTGCGACGTTCGCCAGCTGGATTGGAAATTGTTTAAGTCGTTTCTCTACCTGTGATGTCGCTGCTCCGTGACCTGTGTGCTTGTGTTACCACGTTGGCCAGAACAACAAAATGCTAACACAGTTATATTGTCTTCAATGTTGTCTAACAATTTCTTTTGTAGAAGCCAGAGAGAAGCGTGTGTGTGTGTGTGTGCGCGTGTGTGTGGAAGAAGATACCCTGTAGTCACTGGATGTAACATAAAAGATGGGAAGAAAGGCCAGCCAGATGATACATGTGGTGTACATGGTGAATCCAATGAACTTGGCCTCGTTGAAGTTCTCCGGGCACTTCCTGGTCTTGAAGGCATACCTAGAGGGACATAATCATATTGACACAAAAACGGTTGCTGCACAGAACACAGTGAACAAAGTTCTCAGGCTGGAGAACAGAAAGCACTTTAATTGGAACCTTTTTTTCTTTTTACAAAACTCTCGGAGGCGATTGCAACCATCGATGACCCACTTACACAGTACACAGGATGACCAGGAGCACGTCATATACCAGTGAAAGCAGCATGCTGGAGTCGCGCACGTTACACTTGAGGACGACGGTCTGTCGTCGCTCCGGCAACGTGAAGCGCCGCGTCCCGGGAACTTCCAGCAGCAGCCACACCGACACCATCACTAACTGGACGGAGATCAAACTCAAGCAGATGAACACCTGGAGAGAGGAATGAAGGGTAAGGTCATGAACGTGCGGCTGTCTGTCCGTCCGTCCGTCCGTCCGGTCATGTGAGTGATGCAGACGGATGGACGTGATGCTGCGATCACTCACCTGAGAAGATGGGCTAATGAAGCGCGGCCTCACCGCACCCGCTCCGTCTTTCACGCCGCTGAAAATCCGGGCGATTCTGTTTGTTTTAGTGAGGAGGGCCGAGTAGCAGACAGCAAAAGAAGTGCCCAGGCCGAGGCGCCGCAGGGCACAGATGGCCGGAGAGGGCTTGGCCAAGAAGAGGAAAGTCAAGGCGTAGGACATGAAGACTCCACAGAGGAGGATGTAACAAAGCTCTCGGCCCGAAGCTTTCACCAGCGGCGTGTTGTTGTGTCGTATAAACACCCAGAACACCAGACCGGTACACATGAACCTGTGGAGTAAAGCGGTTCACAGACGCAGTTTTAATAGGTGCTGATATTGTTAAACAAGAAGGGCTGAGCTATACATAACGAATCACATGAAAATCTGTTAACATTATTGTACATGTTTATGTATGAAAAGCATGAGTCCAGGAGGGGGATCTTAAATACATGTACACAACACGCTAACACGGTTATGCTGCATGTTCAATTCAGTATCCTCACCAGTCGATAATCCAAAGAACAATAAAAATCTGCATTGCTGATTTTTGCAGTGTAGCGCTGTGTAATTCTAGTAATGTAGCTATAATAACAAAGTTGTGTGATGAGGTTTTAATTACATTTTAGCATCACAGGACCAAATGCGTTAGGATCATAACGACTAACTAATGTCACCAAATCCAACAAAAAGCACCAGAGACCTGCTAATGTTATCGTAGGCTGCTATGGCATGCGGGAGCAACTTTCGCAAATTGGGGAAGAAGAAAGTCACTCCATGGAGGAACGGATGATTCCCCTCCTCCAAGCCAGCGTAAACTTTACGAGCACGCACACACACACACTTACACACACGCACACACTCGCACACACACACACACACACAAGTCTTTACGTTGACAGCCCTATATCACTCACCCTAAACAGGCAATGGTGATTGGACCAATGGCCCAGGCATCCTCCCACATAATATAGTCCTCGGGAAGGTCGTAGCAGGACGTCAGCTCCTCGGTGGGCCACTGGCCAGGAGCGCAGGGCGAGCAGGTGAACTCGTCGGCCAGGTATTCATGAGGCTCGCAGGCTGTGCAGATCCAGCAGCAGTACTCGCCTGGGAAAAGCAGTAACACGAACGAGCAGAACTTGTCGGTCTTGAGATTTTCTCAAAAGACGCTGCTGCTGGGTGTGGTATGATGTGACCAGGGAGAACATCGTCGTGAATCCAGTCTCCTACCTGCCTGCATTTTCTTCATCTCATTGCGTTCACAGGGGTCGCTGCACTGCGAGGTGGGTACCGCAACCCTGGGCCAGTGAATGAGATCGTTGCTCAGGGTCAGACTCTCTGCCCAGTCCCCCACTGGCACGTACCCGTAGCGGTCGGCTGTGCGCTGGTAGCTGAAGATGTTGTACCGGCCGACGCCGTCGCCCTGGGAATCAAATTTCACTACTGTCTCACTGCCTGGAGGAGAGAAAGGGGCTGCAGGGGGTGAGAGGAGACAAAAGAGCGGCAAATAAAGGGATGAGGCAAATGGAGGGGGAAAAAAAAGGAGATTAAAGCTAAACAATCACGAAAACAATCATTCCATTGATGCCTCATTGATGCCTCATATACGCGACAGTGAGGACAGGAACAATGAGCCGTGGTCAGTTAAGCCTTAGGAGGCCAGAGCAGACGGCGAAGGCCATTCAAATAGTCCTTTCAGCGCTGAAGACCAGCCAGTTGCTAAAGTATTTGCTAAGAGGCTATAAATGCCTGGTATGCTTGGTGATGTCTGCGTGTATCAATGGCCTCCCATCCCTCCCTGAGGTCACATACGGACCAAACGCTACTACGAATTCAAATCTCACAAAGTCTATTACCAAATGCATCATTAATAAACTGCCTATAAAATGATATAGCCTAGGCATGAAGTTGGAAGACTGAATCCCTGGACATTGATATAGCAACCCACACATTGATAGAGTTAGCCTCTGGGTCTCTTATGTGAGGGAGGCACACTGCTGAAACTGCCAAATTGGTTTGTATACAAGCTGTTATGAAAGGATTACCATCAACCCCGAGGATGTGGGAACAGAAGAGATCGAAAAAAATTGGCAGGAAGCTGAAACTAACAACAACAACAACAAAAAGAAAAAAGGGGGAAAAGCGACCGTGGACTGAGAGAGAAGAGAAACTTCTCTATGCGTGGCAGGCAGCGTCGGGGCTGACATCGCCGTGACACAGACAGCGCACGTCGCTCCCGCACAGCAGCTTCTGTCCTCACGGCGGAGCGAGCAACACGCTTTGTAATGCCGAGTGTTACGCGCCGCTGCCTCCGCTGTCAAGCGATGATGTGGCTCTGGTTTACAAAAACATGGCTCTCCGGCGCCTAACAAGGCTCCTGGCCTTCGGTGCACAGCAGCACTGACGACACTGCGCCGCCTTCCTCGTGCCTCTGTGTCATTGGGTGAGTGAAGAAATCAACCTGCCAAACAGTGCAGCTCGGGATCAGGGGAGTGAATCAAAATACAGATTTTGGGACGCGCGTGCCTTTGGAAGCTCCATTAGGTTTCACGTCACAGTGGGATGGTTGAGGCGTTGCTCTGAGCTCTGTGGGGGGGTGGGGGGGGGTGGGGGGCTGTGCTGACAGAACCACAGCTCGGACCCCGCTGTTGGCGACACGCAACACCGGCGAGGGCTGAAGCGATGCGATTGTAGTGCGAGCTCCGTGCGCTGGGAGGAGAACGTTGGCAGTGGGGGGGGGTTAGGGTTTATGAAATCCATAAATCACGCAGACAGCACAACCCTCTCTCGGTGCAGCAGGAAATTCCAAGTGTCAAGCCTTCTTTGGGGTTTTTGGGGATAAAAGTTTCGGTGACAGCTAAATGAAAATGATTTCGATAAGATGGCGATAATATCTACAGACGGCGGAGAAATAGGGATCCATTATATTGCAAGTTGACAGATAATAAAGTCTGGTAATGACACTGAGCAATAAGACAAACCGGCCCTTGTCCTCTCAGACACACACTTTGAGAAACATTTTGCCGTCAGCTAATTATCACAACTGCTCCTTATTGGGGCCTTAGATGTGGGTTCAAGCCTAATTAACTGTGTATGGTAATTACATGTAATACAGACTAAAGAGTGTGGAGCTATTTTATATCTCCTGAATATGCATGTTGGGATAGATAATGTTGAATGTAATATTATCAGCTTATGAGCATTCTCAAACACAAATGATCATAATTATAGATTTCCACATTTGTTGATTACGCACACACACACTTGAACTCTGTGTGACTGGAGGCCGTCAGGTTGAACATGTTTCTGGTTGACCCCAAAGGGTCAACAAAAGGTATATCAGGGCGTAGGTCGTGCAGGTGAGGTAATGATTTGTGTGTGACAAAGGTTGTTCAGCATCTACCTACGGAATGTAAAGAGCTGACCGTTCACAACACAAACAAAAACAACACGCAGACCCATTGTCCCTGACTTCACTGTAATAGATCACATTCTTGAAGCATTAGACCCAGAGAACTGACGTTACTTCCCTTCATCCAACACCAGAGACCTTGCTGACATGACAGGGCGAGCAGATTATCAGAAAAAGTGTTTGAGAGTGCACGATAGAGCTTGTGAAGGCCACCAAGACCGCAGAGCGCTGAGACAAGATGTATACCACTCTCTCTCCTCAGTCCTGTTCACAATTCAAAAATCTGGTCAGTTTATACCCAGAGGATGGAAAAGTCAGAGGATTGTGAAATTAAGCAGGGTTAGATTTTTCTGGGATCATGATGATCCATCCAACAGTATATATTTCACAAGTCAAGGTTGTGCACCTACACTGACATTGCGCTGCCATACGGCGATACAAAAAAGCAATTTCATCTTGTCAGAAACACAAGCCGTGGACGGGGAAGCTCACAGGAAGTTTTTCCCGCAGCTGCCTTTTGTACATCGGTTTTCTATGTGATGTAACTCCGATGAACCGAGGACTGATCCAATTTCATCATTCTAAGAATTGAATGTGGTGCCTGCTCCCTTTCAGCAGCTTAAGGGCTTTCTTGTTGTGTCTGAACCACTACGCAACATTAGCCCCGAAACAGTGATGATTAATAATTCTGTCTGACCTCATCCGTACAGTCCTTCCCACTGGCCCGGTCCACTCCAGCTGAGGCTACCTGCAAGCTCCGCCCACAATCCACAGCTTTTTACGGGACTCTCCACGCCTGCCAAGTGTTGCCGAGATCCAATTGCGGACCACACCTTCCGAAGGATTTTCTCCCCCAAATCACTCACCACGTGTAGCAGAGGCACACGGGATACGATAAAAAAAAAAAAACAACAACAATTGAACAACGCTGTTTTTAGATTATCAAATTTTTGACGGAAATCTACTCAATATATTAAAAAAAACAGCTGGTGCCACAGAATGTCAAACAGATAACAACAAATGAATGAATGTAAATAAAGTCAGGTGAGACAAACTGAGATTACAGCGCAGCCTTGCCAGATCCCTAATTTTTGTAAGAATTTATTTTAAGCATTCCAACTAACTTGAGAAACACCTTATTATTCTAACTTAATTAGAAGCTTGGTGAAAACAAGCTTTTCATTCAGAAGCTGTGAAATTAATTATGTTCTCGGCCATGTCGGGCTGAAGCGAAGCCCAAAGGGGATTGTGGATATTAAAGGCAGGGACTGAGAGAGAGAGAGAGAGAGAGAGAGGGGCTAAGAGGCTTGGGAGGAATAAGTAGGAATAAGTCATCTGAGAAAGAGAGATGGAGGGAACATGTTTTCATGACTGTGGGACCAAAAATGCAAAAGCTGTAATGTCTAGGAAAAAGATAATTGTTTCCAAGTGTCAATTCATCTGAATTGCTGATTAACTTACTTACTGATTCTGTCCTGACAAACTAAACACAATGCACACCTTTCCCAGGTAAAACACAACTGCTCTGCATTAAAAAGGATGTAACCAAACCTGCATATCCCTCTTTCTCCTGCTGCACAGGGTTCACGACCTTACACACCTGTGACCCACACAGACACACGTCCCTCCGCATATGAAGATACGGACACGGGGGATGCACTCACATGTGCCTAACACACACGCAAACAGATCCCATTAGCTCTATTTGTTCTCCTTGTAGATTCAGTCGCTGGGGATCGAGGCGCTGCTGAGGCCACGTCCGGCGCGCCTCAGGGGGAACAGAGGAGAGACGGGCTGGAGAGAAGGAAGTCGAGAACAAGGAGCATACGTGTGCGGTAGGAGAGGTGGCAGCAGCCGAAAGCTGCGGCTTGACGGACATAAAGGTGGCGAGATACAGGGGGACAAAGACAGAAATGGCGGGCCAAAAGCAGGAGGAGCCGGGGAGGAGGGATGAGCCAAGAGACAAGATAAGAGCAGAGAAAGCAGGGAAGTGACAAGGGAGAAAAGGGAGACGAAATAGAGTAAAAAGAGAGGAGATAGCGAGGGAGAAAAGAATGGGGTGTGACAGCAGCAGAGATACAGGTGGATGGAGGAGAGCCTTTGGAAGGAGGAATCAATACAGAAAAGGTGAAGGATGGGTGGAGGCATGAGCAAAGGGAAGGAGTGGAGGAACAGACGCGGAGCAGAGAGGCGGCGGAGGCAGGAAAGCAACCTTGTGAAGTCCAAGTGGGATGTGCTGTTTTTGAATGTAGAGATATAGAAGCGTGCGAGAGAGAGAGAGAGAGAGAGAGAGAGAGAGAGAATGGAGTTTAAACAAAAGAGAGAGCGACAGAAAGACAGAGAGGGACAGAGAACGACAGCGGGAACGAGAAGAAAGACTATGGAGAGAAAACGAGGGAGAGAAGGAGGGAAGGTTGTTCTCTAGGATCTAAACGTTGCAGTAAGCTCACTGCTCAATATGGCCCTGAAGGCACACCGCCTCTGCTAACACAGACGTATCACACACACACACACACACACACACACACGCGCACACACGCGCGCACACGCGCACAAAAGCTTAGGGAAGGGGAATATCACATCTATCATCAGTATTTGAACAGAAGACTGCCTGCATGGTGTATATACTGATATGTTTGCTGCAGATCGGTTTGGTGGGTGGGTGGGAGTTGAATGATGGCTTTGAGAAGTGTGTGGGTTGGGGGTGTCTGCAATTTTATACTAGAAAAAAAAAGTATTTCTAGCCGCGTTTTTGTAAAAAAAAAAAGAAAACAACTGACAGCATGTGTCTCTTTCAAGGACGTAGTTTGTTTTTGTGCTGAAAGTCGGGGTAGCGGGGCACAATTGTGCCTCTGTGTCTGTTGCTAGATGGCAGGGAGCAGTTCCCATGATCCATCAGATCACTTCAACAGTTGGCAATAGCGTCGGCTTCATTACCATAGCAACTGGCGAGATGAGACCAGATGAGAGAACACCATCCTCACCACACAACAGGCTGCTCAGTGCACCACATGCGCTGTCAGTAGCACACCACAAAAAAACCCCGCCCTTTTCACAGCCTTTGTTGTGATCGTAAAGTTTAGGACAGGGGACAGTATTGTGAAGCTATCAACTAAAGCGAGACCCAACTTTGATATGCAATGCATATGAACACGTGTGTGTGTGTGTGTGTGTGGGAGAGGGAGGGAGACGGCAGAGAGTGCAGCAGTGTTGGTTTTCTGTCTGCTACAGTTCAGACTGAGAGCACTGCGGATGGTGATGCCGCAGTATTTATACCCCACATCCAACCTCAACTCACCTCAGCTTACTTACATGCTGTAGATGGAAAGATTCGTATGAGCGGCAGCGTGAGAGCGTCACTTAAAAGCAAACCGCTGCCACGGCTCACCAGTTTATCTGGGACGATCATCCTCATCGTCTCGGCGGCGCAGACTGAATGCCTTATTTTTGGCCGAACCAATAAAGCTGTTGGCCATGCTGTCGCCGGCGACACTAACAGTGAGCTGTGAAGAGCTCGAGATCCTTTGACATGCTGTTACTCTCTTTGCGGAGCAAAGACACGCGCCTCGTGGACATGCATCAGCGGCGAGAAGAAGGGGGGGGGGAGAGAGGGGGATGTAAGTAAGAGTGGTGATCAGACATAATGATGTGAGGAAGTCGCACTGGGTGCACACCTCTCTCCCCTCTGCAACTTACTGCTCACATTTTGAACTTTCAGTGGGTAAATCTGCATATCTATTTAATCCCTCTCTGTATGCATCCTTTCCTCTCTATCTTACTAGCGCTCGTCCTCTATCCTTCTTTAGGTCTCTCTCATGCAGAAATGCTCCAAGTCCTTTGATTTGTGGCAGAAATGAAGATGGGGAATTTCAAAGAGAATCCTCATCTTCTGCCGAAGCGCGCTGTCCCACTCTGGCATTGCTTCAGTGTTCCCCTTTCCCTCTTCCCTTGCTTACTTCTTTTCTGTCTTTCCACCTCGTACCTTACCCCGAAACTCTCATTTTCTCATTTGAGTCTACCCGTCGTTCTGCTTATCTGCAAGCTTCACTCCCCCTTCCTTTAATTTGGGGTATCATTCTTTCGTCCTCCACCCATCCCTGCTGCTCGCTCCCCAGCGTCTCGTGAGCAAAGCTGCCGCGTTAGCGCTGTTTGTTAGGCCGTTTTGATGTCTGCTCCTGGTCACGGTTGGTGGAGGAATAAGCACCTCTAAACCTGTGTCAGTCCCCGAGACGCAGCGGTTTATTTATACCGCTGCCTTTGTACGCCATCTGTCAGTCAAGCCGATCCGCTGTCTCTCCTCTCTCTACTCTGCAGAGACTGACATGCAGACAGGCAGCCGGCTATAGGAGCTATTATAACACACACAATCTCATTAGTTCGAGACACAAGAATATGGCTGACGGATTAGCTGCAACTCTCATCCCTCAAAGCAACTTTGTAGTGGCGTATCAATTACGGATGGGTAATGGGTGTCAATAGCACGGCTGGCTCAGACAATACATAGCAATTAAGCAGATTTGTCCCGGTACTTTTTATGCACTGCGGAAGGACAACATCCTGGTGTCGTTCATGAGAGGACTGCTAAGTGGGTACACTATTCCTGCTTTTTTTCCCTGGCTATCTCTCTCTCTCTCTCTGTCCCTTTTTCCTCCTCAACTCATTCTCATCCACTTATTTTCACCCTCCATCCATCCGCCGTGAACAAGTTATCTCGGACTCTACGCTCGCTCCGGCTCCCTTACCTGTGAAGCTGACATTAAGGATGTAATCCCTGTAGAGTCTGCGCCCATCCAGCGCCTTCATGCTGTCGCACAGCTTGGTGGTGTTGAAGCACAGGCTGCGTTGCATATAGTGGAGCGCATGAGCCATTGCGTACACCGCGTTGACCACAAACATGATCTTGGACTCTGGTTCAAAGTTATTCTTGTCCAACGACAAGTCCACGTCGCACGGCGGGAGAGACGTCCCTCCCAGTCCAACACCTCCGCCTCCTCCTCCTCCTCCTCCTCCCCCTGCTCCGCCCGCACCCAAGGAGCACTGGAACCGCTGCTCCCAGAATTCCCTGTACCAGGGGTTTCGATGGTTTTTCACCGGGTTCAGGCTGAGAAAGTAGCGGTTGAATTCCGGCAGGGGATTGGCTGCCAGCTCGAGTGTGATGGCCCCCTCGGCGGTCACCTCATTTCCCTTGACGATGCTTTCCTGGGCCCCCCAGCCATCGCTGGCCACCCAGATGAAGGAGGTGTTGAGCCTGGCAGCTGCTGCCAACAGCTCTCTGGCGTCGTCGCTACGCAGGAAGAGGACGGCCACGCGGGCATTCGGCTTCTGTAGGAGCTGACGGATCACGGCTTCATAGGACTTCTTGGCGTTAGAACGCCCCACCTGGAGAGAAAGAGGTGTTGGTGTCATGACGGATGTGCTGTAAAATGTTCCTTCTCCTGTCAATTGGTTCGCGATTTATCAGCACCATCCAAAGGGAAGAAACAAGCACATAAAGGTCGTCAGTCGTCCTCCGCCTCTGTGTTTATCTGTAGCAAAGTGACTGTGAAAGTACCTAGATATGCTTTCATTTTCTGGTTCACAAGTGATTACGTCAGTGTAATATCACCTCCATTTGTGTGTAGGACGAGATAAGACATGAGTAGGGCCTCGTGGGTGCACACTCGGCATTAGCGCCACAAGTGGAAGTGGTGTCTTTTGGCGACTTGCTTCGAGCAATTGTTGTTAATTGTCATGCTGGGAAAAACTCGTATTCTATTTCACGTCTTACCTTCTCTGAAGTAGCAATGCAGATGTTTCTCATGCGTGCCTCCTGTTCAAAGGCCTCTATGCCAGTTTCACCATAATCACCCTCTGACGCCACAGTGGACACATACGTCCAGTTGAAAAAGCGGAGGATCTCGGCCATGGCCTTGGCCTGGTAGAAGTCGGGGGGCACCGTGCGGGCAAAGTAATCGTAGCGGGTCTTATCACTGAGCTTGGCACTGGTCGAAGCGTAGCTTATCTGAGGAATCTGAAATAGCCTGAGAAGATTGGCAACCTGTGGGGAGACGCAGTGAAATGAGGAATAAATCATCCGAAATAATTCTAAACCTTTTTGCAAATTAAACCCTTTTAACGAATGAACGTATTGATTTAACCGTTATTCATTCTTGATACCCATTATATGGCAAATTTTCTTGAGATAATTAATATTTTTATATTATTTGCATAGAACTAAATAAGCCTTTTGGATTCGGCAAAGCTAGACTGAGAAGTTAATTTACTGACTGACTGATTTTGATCACCGTTTTGATTATTCCTTTGACCAACTGACTGTGTGTAAGAACAAAACACTTAAATAATTGGACTTAATTTTTATGAACCTCAAATTAAAAACGGGAACATATTTGTAAGGTTTGTGCTGACAGGGATTCCTTCATGCATAATGTGATTATTTAAAGAAAAAAGACAAAAGTTTAGGCTCATGTGAGCATGGACAAACACAAAACCGCACACACATTCCGCATGCACACACATACATGGAAGTTCCATAAATCCCTGACTCATGCATTAGTGATGGACATCATCTAGGGTCTACTGATGTCCATATATTATTCCCTTTTACTGCAGATTGGTGTTCGCTCATGTTCCCTTAATTACAATTATAGTCACAGACGCCAACACGAATATAATTGCTACACATCCTCATGCACACAACGACGTGTAAACATTCACATTCAAACATGCATACACGCACAAATAAACAGAAACTACATAGCCCTCCTATTAGCCCTCCTATTCTCGCCTCAAGTTAATCCTTTTAGAGCGCATCACTCTGGGCTTTTCTATATTCCATTCATAGCTCATTTGATGAGCTGTTTTGACAACATGTCAGAATCTCATGAGACTAATAATGTAGAAGATTAGAAAAACACACTTGTACACACTGATGTGCACATGAACTGCTGTACATGTGCACAGGCCCCTGCAATGACACACACATGGATGCCTGCTTAGAGTATTTTAGGTAGGTTTTATGGTTTTAGGGTGCCAGCTGACTTAAATGTCAGGGAAGGTCGAGGTGCAAAATGTACCCACATTGCTCGATCACCTGCCACTGAGCAATGACTACAACTAACTAAGAGGCCTGCGTGCAGGTACATGCAGAGGAAGGGAAACGCTGCTCTCTTCCTGTGAAAGAGAGTGAGGGGGAGAAGTGAGATGTACTGAATGGGTTGAGTATGAGAGACGAGTATAAAAAAATGAAAGGGAAGGAGAAAAAATTGGTGCAGTGGAGGGCTGCTGTGTGTTTTCTGCTTGGAATGCAAGTCACACACACAGACATAGAGACTCACACACATACACACACACACACGTGTACGTATGAAGGAAAGGGATTATGCCTGCTACGTGAATGCCCTCAAAAGAGTGGAGTTTAGTTGTGCATTGTTAAACATAAATAATTCCCTATTACTTCATTTAGAAGCAACAGAGGTTGGCCAGGTAGAGTCTCCTGGAGGAGCGTCCGGATTAGCTTTTCAGGAAAGAGATCAGAATGCAAAGCACAGTTTGGTTCTCGTAAAAAGAAAAGTGCTGCATTTGGGAAAAAGACAGGTAAAGAAACAACAGCAACGAGGGGCAATGAGAATGAGCTGCGAGGAAGCAAGGGGTAATTATGTGTGATGAAGGACAGAGCAGATGTGTTAACAATGGCTGCCCCAGGAAGGAGGAGGATGATGAGGAGGAGGAGAAGAAGGGGGCTGAGGTCAGCATAGACTGAGCTCTTCCCAAATAGCCGCAAGGGATGCCTCTGAATGCATATAGAGAAGGACAAAAAAACACTAAAAGGCTGTGATGAGAAAGAAGAGAGGAAATATTTAAGGGACAGAAAAAAGACATCAACATAAGAAAGGGATAGAGAGGAAAAGAGACAATGAAAAAAAAGAAGAGAAACTTGCAGAGATCAGGGATTTAAGAAGTGATAGGAGGATGCTTTTGTGTAGTCACATAGGAGTAAGGGAGAGGGAGGTTTTATGTTAAACTATGCAAATTACCCAGATCTGTGACAAGAGCTGCATGAGCCGAGGAGACACGCAAGAACACGCCGATAGAAAACCTGATGCTAAGAAATAAGTACACACACACACACACACACACACGCACACACAGACAGACAGACAGACAGACAGACATGGGTTCGCCCCTCAACATCAATGCAAGTCAGGTTCTGCATGCTTGGTCATGAGTTAAAGACGAGAGAGGAAGCCACCAAGTCGAACTTAGATGATGACGCTAAAGTCGGTTTGGAAAAATACCTCGGTACCTGCACGCTGCACGTTACCTGTATGGAGACGCTGCTGAAGGATCCACCTATGACCCCAGCGATTGCGAGCGGGCTGTCGTCCTGCAGAGCGTAAGATCCATCCGGACAGATAAACTCTGTGTCGTCCACCTTGGTCAGGGAGGCTCTCACAAACTCCAGAGCCTTACGGGAAACACACCCACGTCGATTTAATCGCAAATATTGTGCAAAAAGTATGATCTATACCATGTTTCTGCTCTTATTCGGCCTCTAACTCACTTTGAAATATGTTCTTTCAAAGAAATCTGCAACATAAATAAAGACTGATTGATACTTTTCTATAATGTAACGTTTCAATCTCTATGAAAGTGAATATATAAAAGCTCATTGCCTTCATGTAACTAGCCCATTACTAGCAGCTCTTAGATGCTTTCGGAACAGGGTCCAGATTGCAAATGAGCAAGCCCTGACATCAAGCCACATTATAAGATATTGCTGGGATGTGGAGAACCAGGCCATGAAGCTGCCACCTACAGAATTCAGGGTTTGTACCATCAGTCAAAGAGCTCATTGTATAAGATCACTGGATGCATCATCCCCTAATAGCTCAGCAAAGACGCAAAAAATTTTCTGTAAATAAACCCTGAGGGAAAAGGCTTTTTTTAAATATAAATCTGCCTCATTTCTCACATCCGAATGGCTTCCATCTCTATTTCTCAATCAAGGACTTTTCTTGACTTTTCCATCGTGGCTGATATAGAATTTCTGAGTACATTTACTTTTTTAATGAGACCATATAGCCTTTATTTAATTTAAAACATTTATTGCACAACTTACTTTGCGGTGCAACTTTTAAAACATAAAATATAGCTAAAGTTCAAGTCGACAGCTAACTAAACAAATTGTGTTCAAACTTAGTAATGCCCCCCGCCTCCTTCCCTCCCCCCTTTGTGACACTTGCACGGTAGGTGTACCTGCTCCAATGCATACGTATCCCTGGAGCAAGTGTCCAAGATGTGGACTCCGAGAGAGACCCCGGGCAACAAAGCGCTGTCCTCATTGATTCTGTCAATTGCAAACAGCATGGCCTCCAGCCTCTGGATCCCTCTGTCCTCATTCACACGCCCGCACTCCTCCATCCCGGCACCTTTCTCGTGCACGGGGAACAGACCACCCAGCACAAGATCTCCCTCGATGCGGATCTCCCGGCGGGACGGAGGAGGGTCTCCGACCGAGAGCAAAACGCCGGGAAACATCATGACTAAGATTAGAGCGGGTACGCGGGCTGACATGTTGGGCTCGGGGAGGGATACGGTCGTCAGAATATGAGGAGAGGCTTAACAGAAAGTGAGGCAGAAGGATGTAGGGGGCTGAGGGTGAAGGTTGGGACTGAGGGATTTAGGGCGGTGCACAGTGGGGTTGAGTCAAATAGTGGCCGTGGGTGCCTAGGTTGGTTTGTGGCCCACAAAGCGGTCAGGGAGCGGTGAATTGGACCACGCATGGAGGGAGACACCATCTGGACATCATTCCTGTGCGGAGAGGAGAGAAGATTTAACTGGAGTTAGTATGCATGGAGTTAGTATGCATGATGAAATACCTTTTGTAGGTGTTAAAAAACAGCAAGGAAGCCCTTCAGTGAAGTTTGGGCACACTGTTTAAAAGGGTTTAAAGTTGTTTCCGCCGAAGCCAGGCCATGACTAAAATGGATATAGAGTTGTTTGGTACCCCCCTGCTGTCCCGCCCCTCCTACATCCCGGAGTGAACTTTCTTCTTGTGAATGTGTATGTGTGTTTTTGCCCCTGGTTGTCTCAGGATAAGGCAGCTTAGATGGCTGGTTGATACATGAGCCCAGCCTTCTCATGCTACAGATCAGAAAAACTTCTCTAATCTGATCCCCGTTTTCAACAATTCTCCGTGCCCCCAAGTATATCTGTGTGTGCATTATCAGATGCATTGCTCCTCTCTTCTCTGCATGATTACAGTGTGCAGACTGAATCCATATTTACCATGAAAGAAGCTAACCGACATCAATGAGGCTAACAGCGGCTCATGCTATTATCATAGATTACAACTCAATTAAAGCGATCATGTTTTGACGTGTGTGTCTGTGTGTGTGTGTGTGTGTGTGTGTGTGTGTGTGTGTGTGTGTTCTCATGCTTTGGGTAAACTTTTCTCAGGGAACAATTTAGAAAGGAATACATGGTTAATAGGGTCTTTTGACATATTTTAGATGGATAATGGTCCTGTATGATACCAAAGGATTGTCCCCGAGGGATGAATTTAAATATCGTTGATCTCCATGCAAAACCATCATCAAATACATTTTTCATTCCAATAATTTGCTGTATGAACCTACAAAACAATGATATTCACATAAGAAACAGTCATACTTTGAATTTTGTAAATAAGCAAATGTTAAAATGCAAACGCTAAGAGAGTGAACAGTACACCTGCTGAACATCAATATGTTAACATGGTCTCTGTGAACCTGTTTAGCATGCTGAGAATCAACTCAAAGCACCAATGGGTGTTTTATACCCTCAAATGGCTGCTAGCAAGACTGTAAATTCTTAGCCTTTGAATGTGACAAAATACACATCCGGTTACAACGCAATCTATATCACCTCCAGGTATAATCCGGCTGATAAATCAAGATATACTGCACGTTTATACCATGTTGAAATGGGCTACAGCTGTATGCAAATGCAGTGCCAGATGTGCAATTGTTTAAAGATTTATTTGTAAGATATAATAATGAACCTGTTCTTAGTGTATTCCATTTCTTATTCTCTCTGTGTTGATACATTTTTCTATTCAGCTAATGTTAAGACGGTAAAGCCCAGAGTGGGAAGCAGCCTTCTTTTCTTCTCAAGTCTCCCTAGAATTAAGACGGGGATAATGGAGAAAGCGAGTTATGAAATTTCCGTTGATTGCTGGCATCTCCGGCCGGACCAATGTGTGTGTGTGTGTGTGTGTGCGTGTGTGTGTGTGTGATTGAGTGAGAGAGACTGTGTACCCTCCCCCCCTTTTCCCCCACCCTTTGGTGGGCAGGTAGGAGGATGAAAGCTTCTCTTAGATGCAGGTCTGTTTATGATGATTTGTGCCGGGGGGGCTCCATGGCTTTACCACTCTGCTCTGTAATATGACACACACACACACACACACACACACACACACACACACACACACACACACACACACACACACACACACACACACACACACACACACACACAGACAACACACACAAACCCAGACAAACACCCACCCCCACACACACAGCCATACACACTGGCACAAACACACACCTCCACCTCCGCTGCTTGGAGGGGATTGACCTAAAAGCATAGACTATTTCTATGTTTCCTTTCCCTCCCAACGAACAAAGATCTGCGTTACTGTGTTCCGTAAACAAGTAGAAGACACGTAATCAGGATATATACGATCAATGTACGATTCATTCTTTTTACAGAATAGGTTTTAGTACTACTACCCCATTTGAAGGAAAAGTAAAAAGTAAAATATGGTGCGGTCTTTTAAAGTCACTCTAGTACCTAACAATTTTGCTTTAAAAGTTGTTTTGTGTCAAGATCCCACGGGATACTACCTGACATGTATTTGATGAATATTCCTTGGAAATATTTCTTTTTGGAAAGGAAGTAGAGGGTGTCTATGAAAGATTTATATCCTCTCTCCAAGCTATCACACATGCTCAACGTTTGTGAGGGTGAGTCTATAGTATGTTTGTGAAGAAAAAGCAGAATCCATTTGAATGATTTCCAATACTCTACTGAAAAGCTGTTGGAAAATACACTCTTCACACAAACACACTTTTTAAACTTTTAAACCTTTTTTTTGGCCATAATACTGCCAAGCCAAGCAGGATAGAGTACAGTAGTGAATCGGGCTTGTTCATTTGAATTTTTTTGCTTCTTTGTTGGGAAGCACGTAAACTATATCTTAAGAATGAAACAACTTACAGTATATTATATTTCCGAATGCCCTTTTCTCTTTTTTGATGCTCTGGTTTCAGATGATGTTAGTTCATAGAGTGCACATTCTTTCTTTTGCCAGAGAAACATAAGCATTCAAATAGGTGAGAAGAGTTTGAGGTCTGGTTTACAAACCCCATCACATTAATAGGCTGGGCATTAGAATGTGAAATTATTATAACCCCGTGCATGTAAATCTTCGCGCTTAGAAACCACCTCTCAAACTTCACATGTTTAAGTGTCTTGACTCAAAGAAAGCTGATTTTTCCCCGTAGGTTTAAAGCTGGTTGTTTTATACTCTGTGGTGCTTATGGTCCAATGATGTCATGTTACTGTTTATCTCAGCCTGTTGTTGGTTTATTTAATCTTCAGGTTTAGGTAGGCGGCTATTTTTTACCACTGGCAAGGCCAGCTCTTTCCCCCTATTTCCAGTTGTTACGGTAACCTGAGGTGACCCCCTGATGGTTGTATCCTTATATTAAAAACACTAGGCATGAATAGCAATTTCTTTAAAAAGGTTTTTGTTTCCTATTCTGTCAGTTAATTCAGGTATGAAGATCACATTTACATGTACTTATTACACATCAGTCATTTTGTGCTTGGTTTACTGAGCTTTATAAGTCATTTTCCATGTTGTTTCCACACTGAATGACTTATTTCCCCCCAAAATATGAGCGATTTTCTGTTAAACACAAGATATAAAGTGGTGTTTTTTTTTCGTTATTCTTGGAGAAGTTAATCGATGAGTCAAGAAAGTGGTTCCGTACAGCCACATATACGTACCATATAGACAGTAAGGCATTCAGTGTCTTACCTGAATAAAGCACGATAAGAGCAGATGGCAGCTGGCACATGGCAACATCACCACAGACACCTATTAAAGACACATAGGGAGACAGACATGAGGCAAGTAAACAACGGGCAGAAAACAACACGCCTGTCAATCAGAGAAGAGGAGAGAGAGCATCCGATAAAAGGGGAGGCTGCCTACTGAACCTTCTCCCTGGGAGCTGTGATGCACAGTAACTTTGGACAGACAACCCCGTTTCACCTCTGACCCCGCTGTAAAGTATGCGAGCGGGCAGCTGCCACGCTCCTCTTTGGCTGCTCGTGGTTCATCCCGTTTCATTTCAGGAAACCTCCCCAGCATTCTCCCCCTCTCCCACCGTCTGGTGCTCCTCTCCGCACTTCCCATTTATTTCCAACTCCCTCCACAGGCCTCGCTCCCCCCCTAACCGGCAGGGCTGCTGTGGATGACACGTATCCAGCTGAGAGCAGCCATGCAGGGTCGATGGACCGCAACACACTGAGAGGACAGACAACCCAGCTCTCTCGGTGTGTGTGTGTGTGTGTTTTCTTTCCATCTTCATTCTTGAGATGTACGAAAAGCGGACTACTTGTTCTTTGACCCTCCGATAGCAATTACGTGCACGTGTGTGTGTGTGTGTACACGCGGTGTCCCGGACTTCTGACAGTCTCGCAGTTAAAAGGGGCTGTGACCATCAATTATTTACGAAATGCATTTTAGGCAGGAAAGACTGATGATCCATAAATAGGACAAAACACAACAGCCTAACATCCAGCAAGAAACAATGCACATCCCACCGTCCCTTTTAAAGCACACCAATTACTGTTGGATAAACAATAATGCAACTTCTGGAGGTTCTATACAATGACTGAGGGGGAGGATCACAATGGCTAATAATATATAATAATGATATAATAATTGGGTTAAAGTGCTTTTGTAGGCCTTTACCAATTCCAATAGTGGTTAGTGTTCTGATGTAAGATAACTACTGGTGCATCAAACATGTGATCAATCAGTCAATTTTGTGACCTGCATTAGGTTCAAAGGACAAAGGCCTTATCATGTTTGAAACAGACATTGATTTTCTGGACAGCAGAAAATTGAAAAGATTTAACCACACATTCATTGATCTTTGCTCGACAAAAGAACTGCAGCTCCACGTTTTGAAGCGTGCAATCTGCCTGCTGTGATAGATAAAGAAGTACATTTGCAATGAAAAGAATTAACCTCCAAAAGAAGAGGTGCGCTTCAGGTGCACACAGAGTAGACTGTGCTCTCATGTTCAGTGGGCACTCCAAAGGGATTGTACACTAAAAGAGCTTTTAACCTTTGAGCACAACACACTAAATCTACAATGGGAGGGCTAAGCACTGTGGTTGATTTCACTCACAACACTTTACTTCAGAGACTGCGAGGCTGCGAGACCTCCAAAATGACTTGAAACATGATATGTGTCTGGTAAATGTTACATTCATGAAACACAATTTAATCTTGTATTAAATAATGATTCCGACAACATCTGGCTTCAGTGTCTGCAATATGATCAAAATCAAAAAACAATTGAGAAATTAATACATTACATGAAGTGAAAAGTAAATATAGTTATTTTCAGCACTGTAAAGCCTTCCCTCATTTATGTCGCCATCGACCTCACAGTGGTTGTTCCCAGAGTTTTGGTGGTGCACAAATCACGTCCTGGTTAAAAATGGCTACTCGGCCTAAAACAGACCAGGGTTGTGTGAAGGCATTCATTAGAGGCACATTCCATCTCTGTGGAGGGCGGCGGGCCTGTCAGAAGGAGAATTACCTCTCCGTGGATGGCATAGATCAACTTCAATATATCAACAGTCATGTAATGACCCTGGGAATCATCACGTAGCATCAGTCAACCGCTTTGTGGCACAGGTGCTGCTGCATCCGACTTAATTCATTTTCACCTCCCACTAGTCCGTCGTCACTGCAGTCAAAACCTGAGGTGAACAGAGCATTGCATCGAACAGGTAGAGAGTAATGGAGAGTATTAACTACCTCAGACCAGATGGGTGAATCAATCGAGTGGGTTTGGACAGAGACATGAGACTTCTTAATGGTTGATTCAGGTTGGGTGGTGTTTACAAGATTTGATCAAAGTTGCTGATCAAAGTCTGCTATCTTGTGTATTGTCAAAATATTATATATATATATATATTAATCATAAGGGACATCCATATGTATCACTTTGTAGGTTATGAGGTAAGGAAACCCCCTAAAACAAGCTGGTGTGATTGAGCACAGCACCGAGTACGGAAAAGCTGTGTGGTCGGTTCCAGAACGCACAACCCATGAGTTAGGCGTGAATTTTAACAGTAGTTACCTGATGGAAAGTTATGTGTCTGTGATGTAATCACAACCTGTGGAGAGGTTATGCAATAGGGCCATTTGTAGGGTTTCACAAAAACATAAATAATTTAATTCTTTGATTTATGCAACAGAACGTTTGTATTTATAGTGCTATGGATAAAATAATTGAACTGTGGATTTGCTATTTTGAATGTTTGTCTGGAAAGACTGAGACATTTTGTAATTATTAGATACTTCAACTGTTGCACAGTTAGTCAGTTAAAACAGAATAGACGGGCGCATTTTAACAGACATTATAAGTTTCTTGGCGTGATGCCGCTGAGTCGCCTGCTCTCAGTGTGGTGTTTTTTTAATGTAGCCAGTGGTTGACCAGTGAGCCACACAAACAGACAAAGACCCCCCCCGCCCCCCCACACACACACACGCACACACTGTCTCCCTTCTCAAGTTCATCATTTATTAAAGAGTCTGATCCCTCCCTGAGACACACCATCACAGCTGTACATTCCACTGCCCTTTCACTGTCTCATCCCCAGAGTGTAGTGTGCGCGCGTGTGCGTGCGTGTGTGTGTGCGTGTGTGTGTGTCGGAGACAGTCTGTGCATGTAGGGATGGATGAATGTCAGTGAACAGAGAGTGCAGTGCTCATCGTGTCGGTGTGCGTACATGTGTGTGCACGCCTCGGTGTGTTTTGTGAGTGACTGTTGTTGCTGATGAGAGGTGAGTTGTAGGAAGCCAGTGTGTTCAAGACCGTCTCCTCAGCGGAGCCTAACGGCATGAGAAACATGTGGAGCGGAGCAGCCGTTATAATGAAAGAACTTCAAAAGCCAAAAGAACTTCAGGAGGCCTGGAATGAAGGACTTTGTTTGTGATATTAATTTGATTGTTTTAATGAATCTCAATCCAACACACTAGTTTCATTTTGCTGTTGTTTTTATAGATATATTTTACCACACGGCTAAAACAGTCCACATATGCATGTTGCGATAATTGAAATCCTGCTGACAAAATCAGCAGCATTTAACAATAGTTTATATATATATATATATATATATATATATATATATATATATATATATATATATATATATATATATATAGAGTGACTGATTTTGTTCATTTTAATAAAACATCCTATACCAGCAACTTAAAAATAAGAAAGAATTATATTTTGAGTTGAAACATGAGAACTAGTAACTAGCAAGCACCTAGTAACTGGGAGATTAGTCAGTGGGATAAATTTGATGTCTCATCTCCCAGATTCCAACATACGGGGATGCGCTGAAAACAAGCAGAAAGGAACTTTTCTGTTACAATAAGCGTCACTGTTGCCGATGTGAAAAATGCTTTTATTTGGGGGAAAAGGTCGACAAGTTACGTGTTTGACCATTAATGAAAGTCCTACTGAGCGTCCTACTGGGTGACACCTAATTGCTTGGAAGTTGGGAGCGCTAAGGTATTATGGAACAAGGCTGTAACAAAGTAAAGCCGTTGGAAGTTTTATTATTAAATTTTACGATTGTGTGAAGGACAAAAACTTTTAGTTACTTGAAGATGTTTACGTAACTAAGGATAAAAAATGGATAGGTGTAATTATGATATGTTAGCGTCTGAAGCTTTAGGAAGGATGTATGAAAATAAGGCTCCATGGGAGGCTTTCTTTTTTTGGACTGATTTGATTAGATTATTACGAGAAAGCTATGATATATATTTGTTTATACAGTTGTTACGAACACAAAACCAGAAGTTACCTGTTCGTTGTGCATTAGACTCTTCTTGTCTTCAGCGTTGACAAAACACATAAAATCAGAAAGTGAAAGAACCCAAATCATCGACAATGTATTTAAGTGGAATCTTTCCAAGCATTGAGTTTAGTCTGATGTTAATTTCAACGGACAACTGCTAACAAAATGCCAAATCAGTCAAGTTACTTTAAAGTGTATTCAGCACCATGGACAGCAGCATCAAGAAACTCTTGCTGATCTTCAGTATATTTCCATATTAACACGCTTAGAGTGCACTGATAACTAAATGTATTATTTATGGAGAATAAGGCACATCACCACCACTGTTAAGTCAAGTGTTTTGCTAAACATTCGTTAATATTGACAAAATAGTTGTGTAAAATATCTGTAATGCTTTATAGATATTTTACTGCACCACTTTTTGCACTGTGGTTATAATCAGTGAAATACATTTTCTTCTCTTAAAAAATCCTTTCAGAAATCCAGAATAATCTGAAAGATCCAGTTTCACTATGAAGTAGCTGAAAAACTAAAAACTAAATCTCAGCAAGTATTTAATTCACAGTACATAATGTAAAACCATTGGTTGCATTTCAGATCAGCAGTATATTGTTTATGGATAGTATTTATTATCGATTTGACCAAAAAACAAAATACATGATTATTGAGATATAAAATCTAATGAATATCTTAATTTGGCTATGTTTACTAGCACTGCCTTGAGTTATACTTTCAGAAGTCATTTAGTAGACTTTAAACAAGCTGCTGTATCGTTCTACATGAAAAACATTCAGTGAAATGTATATTGTAAAACTAATAATTCAATTACAATAAAAAAAGTAACAATATGAAAATACTCTTTAAACTACAATGAAAATGTCTTGTACCACAGGTTTTGAAGATTTGAATAAAAGTGTAACTGTACATTTCACAATTAACTCCTTGTACTAATAATGAATTAAAATACACTATAAGAATTAACAAAAAGGTTTGTAGACTCAAGTTCTTATGCAAGTTTACTTAAAAGTGTCATACTTTTAATAACTATATCAAAGTCAGGTAAATATATTAATCAAATCTTTAAAAATAGCCTTTGGACATTGGAGCACATCAAGGACACATCAAACTAAAACTTTTCATGAAAGTATGTGAAAACACAAAGGTGTAGCCAGAGAGATGTCCATCACAGAAACACGCAGCCTTTTGCCCTCCAGCGGTCCGTTTCAAGAAGCGGGTTAAGTGAAAACTCAGAGTTTCCCATCTCAGGGTAAATCAACTCAGAGTTTAGGGTTTGACTCAGAGTTTGTTAAACCTCCTTGAAAAGGACCCCAGGACCCGACTGTATGTTTTCGTTCTGTAACTTTAAGCCCAGGCTCAGGATTTGAAACGTGGGCTTTGAAGTTAATGAGACACATTTGATCGTATCTCCCTGTGTGATGTTGGCACAGGTCGACAGCTTCTGTATGTATCAAACACATTACAAAACAGATAAAACCAACCGCAGATAACCATCAGCAAACCGCAATAATCTACGATCAGCACGGCTTCTGCTTCCAAAATCTCTGTCACATCACACGTTTACACATTACATCCACACATAACTCGTCTGCGACTAGAGGACATCGCCGTATCCCTTTTCCTGTGTGCACAGAGCTACTACAATGCTAACAATGAGGTTCTGTACTGTGGGCGGTCTAGTGAGTGGTGCTGAGTGGAAGCTGCAAGGCCGTGCACGTACACAAAACCACACAACGATGCACTGACACAAGCTTATACGCACATTCACCAGCACAAAATGCTTACATTTCAGATCAAATCCCTGACAGACGATTGTTCCTTGAATCTCACAGAGATGAACATTTTTTTGAACACACGTGCACAAAACAAAGACACACACACACACACACACACACACACACACACACACACACACACACACACACACAGACAAGAGAGAGACAATCATCAATGTTCAAACTGAATGAACACATGTATACAATTACACTTAATGACGCGACAGGTCGGACACTCTTTTGGGCGCAAACATGTGCAATCTGCATGTACACACAAACACTTTGCATTGGATCAGTAATGTTAGAGACAAACAAAGTCAGAGACAAACCAACGTTAGATACAGAGTTCTTAAAATGTATTAGTATTCAAAATAAATATGGGTTCACCCCACCCGTAAAGAAATTAAAAATAATGCAGATAATGCATTCTCTAATGATTCCATTTCTTACTGACACCATACAAATGCATCAATAAAATTGTCATTTTAAGTCCATTTAATCCATTTTCAGCCTCTCAAATATCTAGCAGTAGTCTGTTGTGGAATATTTTAATAAAAGCTCGGTAGAAAAGAATGATTTGTCTGATAAAACAGAGTCTTGATGAATGATCAAAGTTGCAAAAAGTCCATTTATTGCTTGCAAGCAGGAGGTCAAATCCACAGGCACGTATCACGGTGCTCTGTGGAAATGGCGTCCCCGAGCAGTAAGAACGCTGAGTTTTTATACACATGTGAAGGACATTCTCCGTGCCAGTTACGAGAAGCTGCAAAGCAGGTTGAGATAAGAACCCAGGTGAAGCTGAGGGTAGCACACACACACACAAGATCCTCCTCAGTGGCCGGTGCAAATCATAATTAATTGACATAAAGTAAAACGTGGATCCGGAACTTTCGTACCGAATAAGATACGAACTAAGGCCATGAACAGAAGTCCTTTGTTTTGAAGCTTCTATGAGATTGAGTCGACCCCCCCTCCCCCTTCTCAGGGCTCAGCTGCAAACTAACATTTTGTATCATGCTGCTCTTTGCACATCAGGGTCAAATGCAGGACACTTGAGACACGGCTTCAGCACAAAACAATGTTATAATATATTTTACCATTACAAGTCACGCCCGCCTCTCCTCCGAGTAAATGCTTGTTCTTTCTCTAATAGATCATTCCAAGAAAAATTCTTAATTTGAAATTCTCATTAATCTTGCTGTAAACTATCTTCTGATGTTGATTCGATAAAGTTATAATTATCACAGAGAAAAATACACTATGTGTTTTTTTTAATCTGTTTTCAATGCAAATGTTGATGATGTAACACAGAACAGGATCTCATCATAATTGGCTGCATTTCTTTCAGTTGGAAAAGAGAAGAAATGTGCGTGGAAATAAAGTTATTCATAGGTATAGTTATAGCAATGAATATCAACATGTGGAAGGAAATATGTTAATCTGAGGTGTAATTCATATGATCATGAAGGAGATTTAGCATATTATGTATGTGTTTCGTTCGTAATTTATTTTTCTTCCTTTTCTTTTTTACAATATTAGGAACTAATTTAACTGAATAGAATACATGGTCACTGTTGAGTCTAATGGAGAACAGCCTGCAGAAATAAAGCCCCCCCCCCCTTCACTATTCAAACACGTTACGTGGATTCAAAGGCAAAAAACAATCTGGGAAGCAGAAAAGTTCCATCACATCTTAAAACCTTTACTGTTTGTGAAAAATATGAAACTGCTGGTGCTAAGAGTCTGTCCACGTAATTCAATGTAGATGCCACGTGCCTCGGCTCCTGCGGAGAGGTGTGTGTGTGTGTGTGTGTGTGTGCTGAGAAGCGAACAGAAAGTCGTTCTGCCGTCAAGCACTGACTGCATGCGGCCATCAGATCCACCTGTATGCCCGATCTCCGGCACGCACCACACGCCACATCGTCCCCCCCATCTCTTAAAAGCCGTGGCACAAATGGCTTGTTGATCGGTCTGGCTGAACCTAAATAACTTCTCCACTCAGGGTAAAATACGCAATTGCAATAGTCGTTTGTTTCACCTTCTGTATCTTTCTCGTGCATCCGATGTAGAGATTAGCTGGGTGTTTGGATCCTTTATCGTAACATGCGATCGGAAGGAACATCTGTAAAAATGGAACATGCATGCATGTACAAATGGGCTTTTTAAATCCTGCGCAAAGTTCAAAGCAAATTCCCCACAGCAGGATTGGCTGACGCGCACTCGAACGGTCCCGGACTGACAATTTGTTTTTTCTCTGCACTCTGTCGCCGAACCTGTAATATGACATTGCAACACGTTTACGCACCGGGAAAAAAATGTACTATATTTTGACCTACCTGGACGACTTGGATCCTTCGAAGGTTGCACACGAATCTCCGGACGGTGGAAGTTTGACTTAGTCTACTCCTGATAGCTCGGAGGAGTCACTGACACAGAGAGAGAGAGAGAGAGAGAGAGAGAGAGAGAGAGAGAGAGAGAGAGAGAGAGAGAGAGAGAGAGAGAGAAGGACAGGATGGTCGCCACTGCTTTGCGCGCCAGCTCCGTCTATGTGTGAGTGCGTGTGTTACTGCGCGTGCACGTGAGAGAGAGAGAGAGAGAGAGAGAGAGAGAGAGAGAGAGAGAGAGAGAGAGAGAGAGAGGGAAACAACAGACGTGCAGAGCCGTAGCCCCTTGCCAAAGGATGCTTCAGTCTCCTAGCAACAACAATCGATCCGGCAAGGAGACAATTTTATTGGATAAAAAGAAAACTTAGCCATTCACCCCCCCCCCCGACCTCCCCCATAGCACATGTTTACCACTCAGAGCAACAACTCCAGCTTTACTGAGTGAAGACACAGTAGAGTGAGACAAAAATGGGGATGGGGGGGATGACATACAGAATGGCACTAACATACAGATCCATCAAGCTCACTTAAAAAAGTGCATGTATGTAGAAAAAGACAGAATTATACATAATGTGTTGTTTGATGCAAGCCTCATCAATACTTTTATGCAATATTGCGTTCTACGATGTCACTGGCAAAGAAAGACTGCGAGCAGCATTAAACATGATGAATTTGGCATGGGCGGCTCTGTTGCAGAGCGATACGGGACATCCAAATCCAAACACCTTCACACTGGTGACTACATTTCTACACCCGAAGCCTGCCAGACATCATATATCATGCATGACACATACCTCACCCACATACTCTCAATCTTCTTCAAGAGAGATGCCTCACTGCCTATTTCCCCCCTTTGTCCATCCTCAGAACAGAAACAGTGGAACTCAGTGGTGTGTGTCAGTGGGTGTGCGTGTCTGTATCAGTGCATGCACACAGACATGTGTATCTACACGTGTTTTTGAGTGCACACGGCGTCATTAGAATACAAGTATGCAGCTCCTATTAAACAGAAAAATCCTCTTCACTCAGAGTGTCCTCTCGTTCTACACAGTACAAACACACGCACGCACACAATGCAGGCTACATACACTGTTTTTTTTTTACAAGCTCACACAACACAGAGAGAGGCACTCAGTCTAGAAGCCTGATTTCCGTATTGTAAAGTTGGTCAAGTGCACAGAGATACTCGGCCTGAGGCCTCGCTAAAGCTGTTTTGATTGCAGACCGCTGCATGCTGTTTTTGCCTGTTTTACATGCAGATTTCCAGGCCGAACGTTGTGCTCATATGTTTTACGCGTGTCTACTGTGTGACACTGCATGGCGTAAGAAGATTGTCTCTGAGGAAAAGCCTTGGATGGGCAGAGATTGATTAGACGGCTGAAGAAGTAAGGGTAAGAGCATCCATTTCACACCTCTGTGACACACATGCATGCACAGACATGAGGTGGGAAGTGCACACACACACACACACACTCCAGTGCCCAGTGTCAGTCACAAATTTCCCAAACTTCATCCCTCAACCCTGCCGTTCTAGCTCGGAGATGCTGGCTGCTCTGACAAAGGCCTCATTGTTTGCATGGCATGCATATATGCAGAAAGCCCAGAAAGCCAGCTTTGTCCCATAAGGGTCCCTCAGCGAGAGAGCTTTGTGCCTGGCCTTTCCCCACAGACCAAGCCACAGCACAACAAGGAAGAAAGAAAGGGAAAGAAAGAGTGAGAGAATGATTGAGGGAGAGAGATAGGAACCAATGTGACAGAGAGCAGATATGATCAAAAGCTTGAACCTTGCCATATGAAACGATGGACAGCGTAATGGCCAGTGAGAGAGCGCTTGTATTGGAAATGTGTGCCTGAATGTAACGTTTTGCCTTGTTGGAGCGAACTGCTCCAGGTCATGCAGCAGGAAGTGGGTCCACTGGGATTATTTTTCCTTCTCCTTTGATTCCCCACAGATTGTTTGTATCCCCGCGCTAATAGAATTAGTCAGGCTTCATTTCCCATGGTCTTCTGTCCCGTCGTGGCCTGGTGATGGATGGAGCTTCACACAGAGGAGTGAGTGTGCTTAGAAGTGTGCCCAGTGTTGGTCGGACAACGGGGCTGGTTACAACTGCTAGTTTCCATTTGCTTTGGTCAGTATGGTCCTTTGTGGTGTGGCCAAGTGGACAAAAAAATCCTCTGTATTGGGTCGATGATTCCCATTTTGAGCTATTTTTATACAAAATATGATTGCTGAATTTGCCTCATCGCAAATTACAGTGGTAATCATTTGAGAGTAGTGTGTGCGGGTCTTTGGACCACGTTTCTGAGAGCCACATTTTAGAAAAGGATTATACAACTGCATTAAACATAATGTTATATGTTTTAGTGATTAGTCTTTAACGTTAAATGGGTTCATCACACAACACAAAATCAGCAGGTTGCATATGTGATATCAAAAGAAAGGTCCTACACTATACCCTGATGGTTTTCCTTCCCAAATGAGTCTAATAGGATCCGTGTCATTGCCCACCTGTATATAATCTTTTTGAAGTTAAAGGGACTTTAATTTATAGAATTTCTATAATGAAAATAATGTACATTGCTACTTGGCATCAACTCACCATTCAGGAGCTGTGGGCTCAAGGAAACTTAAACCTGCAGCCAGCCGTGGATTTAACCACTAACCTCTTAGTTAAAGGTTAACCTGCTCACCCATCTGAGCTGGAACCAGCCATACCCATGGCCACATACTGTGCCTGCTCTGAGAATAGCAAAAACATTATGGTCAATATGATCAATAAAGGGATTTTTATAACAACGGCTGTCTGGAAATTAAGTTTGACGCATATCAAATCTCTGCTACATGAACAAACGTGTGTGAATAACATATTGCTGGTAATTTGGTTTTGGGCAGTTTGTGGCTCCTAATAGGGGGTTGGTCTCTAATTATCTTGGTTACAGAGGCATGTCCAACAGACCGCAGGCCAAACGCTCTTCATAGGACGTGCACTGACCTGACTCCTGTTCGTCTGCTCGCCCGTCCAACACACACAAATGAGCAAACACATATATACAAACATGCAGAAAAATAATTTGCTATTAGAGCAGAGACTCACCTCACGCAACCCTTTTTCCAATACAGCTTTATTTGCTGCCTTGCCGAAAGTTCATGTTTTTTTTTTTTTCCTCTGGCTCATCGTTTTTGATAAACTTGAATAGAGAAAAAGGTTACATTTGAATTAAAACCAATATAATCATGCAACAATCCTAATTAAAAATGACTCTATGTGCTACAGTGGAAAGAAAGTTCAATAATAATTCTCTTTGAAGGACTTGTGCAAAATCAGGAGCAAATTTGTATCCCCCCCCCCCATTTTTTGTCTGAGGTTTTTAAGTATATGTAAACTACTGTAAATAACAGGGGATTGTGTTACTTGTGACAGAATGGAGCAGCCTTTGGAATCTGAGAATTACTTTAGAATAAATCTGGGTGTTTTGGGGTAAAAATCACTAAAAAAAATAAAATAATGAGTGTAAATTATTTACTATATATGCAAATCCAGAGCACATGTGTCCTTGTATGCATATGTGTGTGTCCACATCTACACATGTGTGCACACACATACAGACTAAACAGCATTTGATTTGGCCTCTCCTATGAGCTTTCTCACCGCGACCACAATTCATTAGTAATTGACCGCAATAGCCTCACTCATTAAACATTAACAGGCTACTGGTGAATAATTAATTAATGATATGAGGCGATCTGCGGCAGCATTCTGACAATAAGTGTACATGGGTGAGAGGAAGGAGAGGCCGAATCAATGCGACAGTAAGCAGAGGCCCCAACGCACACAAACACACACACACACACACACACAAACACAAAGATGATATCTCACTCACTCACCATTAACTCACTGGTCAAGTGGAGACTGTTTAAGAATGTGTAAACATACTGTCTTGCAAACAATAATTAAAAAGCCTTTTTATTAAGCTTTGTTTTTGAACTAGATATTGAAGAATAATGTCACCAACTTTGTGCTCCTTAAGATTTCACCTTTAGTTGTAGCCAGTGTCAGAAGGGTGAGGCTGTTTCTCATTTTAGACGGACCACCAACAATTTCTTTGAGCAAACACTTTGCCGTCTGTCGGTCCCAACAGGTACTCATGCTTTGTTTTTTTTTATGAGACATTTTGGATGGGTTGCAAGGTTGCAGAAAAAAAGATGAATAAAAAATGCTGAGGATGATGGATTGTAAATACGCACCTCTGCAACCCTTTCTGCCCCCTTCTCACCAGGATATTGGAATTTCTTAGTGGCTTCTAAAACCGACACAAAAATCCCAAACCATTTTCTGCTTTTGCTTTTGAATTTAGTAACAGTAGTAGTTTAGATTGATTCATATGCATTTTCAAGTGGCAAGAAGCATTAAAAGAATTAGGGGTGGATGTTTAAACATTTAACTGTCTTGTCGGAGATCTCGGCCTGTCTGGGAACAGGTCGTATCTGTGCTTGGTATCAAATTGGCCGATTCTAATGACATCAGATTGTTGATTGTTTTTGCCTTAAAAGCCTTCAAGCCTCCCTAGTGATGGGGGTTTCTCATTGAAAGTGGATGCAGCGTTTCATTAAAGTAATCTGTCATTACGCTGATTGGACTTTCAAAAAAGACAAGGCTAGTGTGAGAAAAATAATTAAGTTTTACGTTAACTGACAATGGTTTTTAAAGCCGTACCCAAGCAGAATTGCTTAAGATAACAAAACTGAAATGAATTAAAAATAGTTGGTCAACCATAAGTCATGATGTGAATGGCTGGTTCCCTTTTAAAGGTCAGAAGATAAGGAATATATAAGGAATAAGGAATCATTGGAGGTAAACTGATCAAAATTGCAAAGACGTTATCGCTATTAAAACCAACATCCAATTAAGATTAACGTGCTCCTGAATGTCTTTCAGTGCTTTTAATTACAACTGTGACTCAAAATTCGATCAAAGTATTCATGAAACAAAATGCTAACATTGTTTTCTGGGAGTTTTACTTCAGAACAGTTTGATTATGTTACAAAAACATAAATCTCCCAAAAACATTGAAATAGTAAGAAGCACAATGATCATT